TCCTTTATTTCCTTTCTTCTGCTTGCTTTGCTCTGTTTTAATAAGCTTAAGTAATTGATTTGAGACCCTTTATTCCCCTAATATAATCATTTAGTGCTATAAATTTCCCTCTTGGTACTGCTTTTACTGCCTTTCACATATTTTGATATGTAGAGTTTTCATTTTTATTCAGGTCAAACAATATTCAGGTCAAAATTCTTTCTAATTTCCATTGCATTTTTTCTTTGACCTATATGTTATTTAGACATGTGCTATTTATTTTCAAAGTTTTTGGAAGATTTCCCAGATACTTTTTTGTTCCTGATTTTTAATTTAATTCCATTGGGGTCAGGAAATATTTTTTTTTATTCCTTTCAAGTTCTATTGAAACTTAAAACAATTTTTTCAAAATATGACCTTTGAAAATATCTCATGATCACTTGAAAAGAAGGTATATTCTGTTGTAATTGTGTGCTCTATAAATGTCAGTTAAATAATGTTGGGTGATAATGTTATTTGCGTCTCCTATATCTCTTACTGATCTTCTGTGTAGGTTTTTGCAAAATCAGTTATTGAAGGAAAAGCATAGAAACATCCCATTATATTTGTGGATTTCTCTATTTGGTGTGAGGGGGTTGCTTTATGTATTTTTAAGCTCTTTATTAGGTATGTGAACTTTTAAGGTTATTATTTTCTCCTGATAAACTGACCCTTTGATTATTATAAAATGCCCTTATATACTTCTGCTAATACTATGTTCTCTGAAATCTACTTTTTTCTGTTATTAATATAGTCACTCCAGCTTTCTTTTGATTAGAGTTACCATGCACATTTATTTCCCATCCTTTTTCTTTTTACATATGTGTATGTTTATATTTAAAGTGGATTTCTTACAAATAGCTTATAGTGTGGTCTTATTTTTTTTTAAAAGTGCATTTAGATTGGGATGTTGATACCATTCATATTTAATGTGATTAATGATATGGTTGAGTATAAATCTGTCATTTTCATTTTGCTATTGGATTTCTGTTTTCCCCACTTGTTATTAGAGTCCCCTTTCCTCTTGTCCTCTATTGGGATTGGGTACTTTTCATGATCAATTTCTTACCTTTACTAGCTTTGTTGCCCACACAGTGGGGGGTTCAGTTGCCTGGCCACCAATAGTACAATGAGTTCAACCATGGAGGATTTAACAAGGGAAGCTAAAATTGCAACAAGTAAGGAGGATACCAGGGATAATTCTCCAAACTAGCGCCTTCCTGAATAAAGCTGAAAACACCATTTTGAGGCTTGTTAGCTGAATCATTGTATGTAGAAGGTAGAGTCAAGGCACCACAGGCACAGTTGTCAATCATGCGTCTACATACCTCACAGGTATACAAGAAGGCAAATAAGCTCCTACCTGGGTGGAGTTTTTAGTATGCTAATGAGGAGAGTTTGCCAAAGTTCATCTCCAACGGAGGCATCTCTGGATCTAACTGGTTTTCATCTTGCCAGCACTGGGCTTTCTTCCTGGAACTTTTATTAAACAACAACACAAGATGCAACAGTTACAAGTGGATACTTTTTTATACTGTATGCCTGAAAACCTGAGGACCCTGGGATGCAGCTTATTAGCTTTATCTCTGTGTTTAGAAGTTGCTTTAGGATTTATTGTGTATTTCCTTAACTATCATAGTCATCTGCAAGTTACATTATGCCACTTCATATATCGTGTCAGAACATTACAGAAGTATACTCTCTCTCACTTCTGGCTATAACGTTCTGCTCTTATCACCTCACCTGGACATTGTCATAAGCCCCACAATACATTGCCTTTTTTGTTTTTGCTTTAAATAGTCTATTATCTTTGAAAACAATCTTAAAAAATTAAGAAAAAAAAAGGCTTTTATATTTTATATATTTTCTGTTTCCATGGTTTTTACTTCTTTTTGTAGATCCAGATTTCCTTCGGTATTATTTTACTTTTGTATTTTGTACTTCTTTTAAGATTATTTGTAGTTCAGGTATGTTGGATTATGAATTATTTTAGCTTTTGTTAGAAAAAGTCTTCATTTTACTTTTATGTTTGAAAGTTATTTTACTATGTATTCCAGGTTGATAGCTTTTTCTTTCATTACTTTAGAGATATAATTCAATTGGCTTCTGGCTTGCACTGTTTCTGAGAAGTTCTCTGTTTACCTTGTCTGTGTTTGTTTCTTCGTACATGGTTTCCTATTTTAAAAAGTTAATTATATGGTGTATATCTAAGGTACACAATATTATGTTATAAAATACATACAGGTAATAAAGAGGTTCCTGTAGTGAAGCAAATGAACGTATCCATCATCTCACATAGGTACCCATTTTTGTTTTCGTTTTTCTGTGGCAAGAGCAGCAAATGAGTCAATTTTAGCTGCTCTTGCCTTACTGTTTCTTTCTTTTTGGCTGCCTTTACAACTTTTTTTTTAACATAATTTGATTATGATGTGCCTTGGTTTAATTTCCTCTATTTTTTCTCTCCCCACCCCCCCATTGGGGATTGTTGACCTTCCTGAATCTACGGATGGGCTTATAATTTTCATCCATTTTGAAAAGTTTTCGTAATTTTTTTTTGTCTGTTTTAGAGACAGGGCCTTTTTCTGTCACCCAGGCTGGAGTGCAGTAGTGCAGTCACAGTTCAGAGTAGACTTGAATTCCTGGGCTCAAGTGAGCCTCCAACCTCAGCCTCCTCAGTAGTTGGACTACAGGTGTGTGCCACCCACCATGCCTGGCTGATTTTTAAAAACTTTTTCTGTAGATGGAGTCTCACTATGTTGTCCAGGCTGATCTCAAACTCCTGGGCTCTCAGAGTGCTGGAATTACAGGCATGACTACTCTGCCCTGCCTTTTGTTATTATTTTTTAAAATAGATTTTTGTCTCGTCCCATCCTCCACTTCTGGGTCTCCAATTACACATATATTTTTGTCTTTGGGGAATAGAGGTTCTTTCTCTATGTTTTATTTTAGGTAGTTTCTGTCTGCACAGATTATTCTGTCTGTACATTGACTCATCTTTTCTTTTGTGGTCTAGTGTGGTGTTAATCCCAGTCAGCATAATTTTTAAAATCTCAGATGTATTTTTCATCTGTGCATGCTTGATTTGTGTCTTTTAAAAATATGTTTCTTGTCTCTCCTTTGTATTTTATGTTTCCCTGTATCATCTTCTACATATGCAATGTATTTATAATAGCTGTTTTATATCTGTCTACCTATCGATCAATCGATCGAAATGGAGTCTCACTCTGTCACCTAGTCTGGAGTACAGTGGCATGATCTCAGCTCAGTGCAACCTCCTCCTCCCAGGTTCAAGCTATTCTCCTGCCTCAGCCTCCCAAGTAGCTGGGATTACAGGCACGCACCACCATGCCTGGTTAATTTTTGTATTTTTAGTAGAGACAGGGTTTCACCATGTTGCTCAGGCTGGTCTCGAACTCCTGACCTCAAGTGATGTGCCTGCTTCTGCCTCCTAAAGTGTATAATGGTTGTTTTAATGTCTGTGTACTAATGATCGCGCTGTGTAATTTCTGGGTTTGTATCTTATTGATCAACTAACCTCATTATGAGATACATTTCTTTGCTTCTTTGCGTGCCTAGTAAGTCTTGGATGGATGAGACATTGTAAACTTTGTATTGTTGGACTCTGTTTTCTTTTAAAATATTTTGAACTATGTTTTGGAATGCATTCAAGTTACTTGGAAAGTTAGAGACTTTGGTGGCTTGTTGCTGAGCTGTGTTAAGCATTACCTAGTGTAGTACTGCAGCTTAGTCTGCTGCTGCTGTTCTGTTACTGAAGCAGTGCCCTTCAAGTGATTGGCCTAGTGTCCCCTGTACTTCAAGGCTTCTGCAGTCTAGTTGTTGGGAGTATGAACTCTTCAGATCTGTGTGAACCGTAGCTATTGTCTTTCCTTTTTCTTTTCATTGGTTCTTCCCCTGGCCTCCGGTAGTTCACTCATTCACCTGTGCCCATCCGTGTCCAGGTGAAGACTCAAGGGAACCCACCACAGACCTCTGGAATGTTTGTCTGTGCAGGGCATTCCTTTCTGGTACTCTGCCCTCTAATTGTAGCTGTGGGATCCTGAGTGCAGTGCATCCCGATGAGACAGTGCTGCAGCCCCAGCCCACAGACATCCAGAGATGTCAGCTGTAGGTCTCCTCTCTCCTCTCTGCCTTTGCCTCTCTGAATTCTCAACTCTGTCTCCGACTCCTCTGGCTTTGCCTGGGTTCCCGCTTCCTGTGCTGTGGCCTGGGCACTCTCCCCGGGCTGTAGGCTGCAGCAATCGTAGGAAGCATCACATTTGTTTTCCTTCTCTGGGGATTGTTGTCTTGTGCTGCCTGCTCTAGGTCTGAAAATCCTCATTTCATGTCTTTTGTTTGATTTTTTAAGTATGGTGGGAGAGTCACCCCAGTTGTACTCTTTCTCTGTCACAGCTGCCATGGTCCTCTGTCCAGGCTTTCTTGTGTTTCTTTAGTCTTTAGGCATCACTGGACAGAGGCCAGCTGTCTGTCTGTGGGAGTCTCTGTGTGGTGTTTACCTGCCAATTCAGTCTGCACAGGGAGACCCCTTGGCCTGTGGTCCGGGTAAAGGCCCTTTAGGGTGGAGCTGAGACTGTGGGTGTCCTGAGCTGACCTGTCCTGTGTACCTTCCCTGTGTTCTTACCTTGCCCCTCAGATTAAGAGGGATTTGAGAATCAGCTGTGCCCCAGACTTCAATCAGGCTGAGGACTGTGAGTCAAGGTTCAGGGGAGCCTGAGGCTCTAGGTCTATCAGTATCTCGTATGTTCCAGACTCAGTTTAGAAATGAATCATGTTTTGGAATTCTTTTTCTGGGAAACTACCTTGGACCTTCCCAATAACTGATTTATGGGCATGTGTTTTTAATAGATGACTTTGATTTTATACAATTTTATATCTAAGGTGATAGAGGATTGTGATTTCTGTCTCTCTTTGGAAAGCCTATGTCCAGTTTTAATTGTTTTTTTTTTCCCTTGAACTGTTTACAGGACTGTCTACAAGAGAGAAGCTTCTCACATGGTTCCATGTAAGTAGTGCTTCTTATGATGTTGTCACAGGTTATATTTTTAGGCTAAGTGACTCTTTCTGTGTCAGCAAAGTTTAAAGTCTTGCACTCATGGGAAGCTATGTCTCTGCTGACCCCCTGGATCCTGGTTTCTTGCTTTGTGAGGAACCTGCCTCAGTTCATACTACTGCCAAGAGCGTGTAGTGTGAGTGACATGCGTTTTCCCTTCTTGCTTCTGTAGAACCAAGATTTTTAAAGAGGCAGTTTCCTCCTTCTCCGATAACCTTTCTACACAGTTAACTTGACCACGTAGACCAGCAGGAGCTGGGGACTGGCTGTTGGTGCCCTTGGCACCTACTGCACGCCTTTGTTCCTGTGCTGACAGTGCCTGCCGCCTGCCTAGTGCCTGTGTGTGTGGTGGCTGTGATGGCCCCACAGTGCCTGCAGCCACAGGGTGCATGGGTGACATCTGTGGAAAGGACCTTGCGTCGGCCAGCACACAGTGGCACACACCTGACTCAGCCACCGCACAGTGGTCCCCATTCTAGTTCTGTCAAACTACCTCGAGATGACTCCTTTTAAAATTATCCTTAAGATGTCTTTCTTTTTCTAAAGCTTATAAACATTGTTTTCAAAACATTTTCAGCAGGAAACTTGGTATATTTTTCACGGTTTTGCATGAAAAACAAATGTCATCATGATGGCTGCTAATGCTGATGAAGTAGTACCAGTCATCATGATTTCATCACTTCCACAAACTCGCTCCCTTCACCCTCCCAGTGCCCCTCTGAGATGGGGATTGGTATTCCGTAATGCTTGGCGAAGTGAAGTGACTCACTCAGGTTATCTTGATGCCATGGTGGGGCTGGGATTTGAGCCAAGCCTTCCAACCTTGCAATAGCAGAACAGGAAGAGCTGCCTTGTTGACGGGATGTTGGTTGGAACTCTCAGTATGTCCTGCCTTCCTGGTGGGCTTGATGGTGGCCCTGGGCTACTGTGAGGTACTGAGCACAGTGCTTCCTGATGAGACAGTGCTGCAGGCCTGCCCGCTGACTTCCAGAGATGTCAGCTGCAGCAGGACAGCACGCTGGTCAGAGAGATGGCATGGGGAGTTGGCATGGGGAGCCCCACAGATGGCATGGAGAGTGAGCATGGGGAGCCCCGCAGAGAGATGGCATGGGGGTTGGGGTCTGTGCATGTGGTGCTTGGACTTGTGGGTGGTTGGAATCTGGACTCATATCATAGAGGAGAGCTCTTGCTGACAAATTACTTCAACAGAGACTTTGTTTTTTCCCTCATTCATTCAGCAGATGTTTACCGTGTGCCCGCGATGTACCAGGCACACTGCCAGAATCCTGACATCGGCCAGGGGGATAGAAAACATCAGTCTAGTCAGTGAGTCCATCCTATGGTGTGTCAGGGGGTGACAGTGGCTGTGGAGGAAACAGGGAAGGGCAGGGTATGAGAGTGCTGGTACTGTGTGAATAGGCTGTCAGGTCAGCCCTGAGACACTGGGCATCTGTGCAAGCCTTGCTGGAGGTGCAGGTGTGAGCCCCTTGGTGCGGGAGGTAAGGGGCTCCAGAGCCAAGGGGTGTTGGAGCAGAAGCTCGGGTCTGACGTGCCTGGTTTAGAACGGGGAGGAGGCTGCAGGGGAGGAGGTGAGAGTGTGGCTGGGGCACATCAGGGGCCTCACAGGTCATCCTGAGGCTGCTCTCAGTCCATGTGGTATTGAACAGGGTAGATGTGGGAGTAGGGAGCCAGCCAGCCAGTCCCTCTGTGCTAAGTTATCATCGTGGCTTTAACTAAAGCTGCTGTAATACCTGCTTCTTAGAGGAATCCAAATCCCTATTGTCTTGGGGCCAACTTTGTAATCTTACAATCTGGATCTAATTTTCACCAAAATCTCAAGAGAAGAGCCTCTGGGACTCAGGCAGATAAACAACACCCGTTATGTGCTGTTCCCATTTTCTCTTCAACTCCGGTGTTGTCCAGATTCTTCGTCTGAGCCTAATGGTAGGCTCTTTGGACCCAGCCTACAGTTCTGGAAATAAACCAGTGTGCTGGGGTGGGGATGAGCCCCGGCTGGTTACTCACCTCGCACAAGCCGTGCCCAGCAGCCAGGCTGAGAGGCAGAGGCGCAGGGCAGGAGGAGCCTTCATCTGCCAGCACTTGGGTTCTAGAGGCTGCAGCAGGTGGATTCTGGAAATTCCCTGAGGCCTTTTATCAGTAAAGACAGGGAACTTTAATGGGCACCTGTGGCCTCTTCTGCTGACAGGAAGGGAGGTGCTGTGAGCACTGAGCTGGCTGAAACAGAAGGGTTCTCCTCTTGTGGGCTGTGTCGAATGAGTCCTGCAGCTTCCTCCTGGGGGATTCTGGGGTGCTATGATGAACCAGAGCGGAGCCCATCTGAGAGGATGTTTCGCAGGAGAGCCAGTGGTTTTGGAAGCACTTGGTTTTTCCATTCCCATGTCTCAGAGAACTCTTCCCACTTCCTGAGAGAGAGAGAGAGATGGATGCAGTCCTCCATAGAGAAGCACAGGTGGGCCTTCCCTGGGCTGTGTGGTCCATGCAGACCTCTGAGGGCCCATCTCCCATAGCTGGTTAGTGCCAGAGCCCACTCCTAGCCCCATCTGGGGGCTGTTTTTCAGCTGCAGCAAGATCAGGAAAAAAGAAATAGTAATGACCACTTTGTTGAAGATTTTTATTTACTTTGAGGTCTTTTATTTCTTGTAATACTGAATTGGTTATTTACTTCTTAGAGTTTTTCTTTTTTAATTACCTTAAGATAACAACTTCCATTATAGAATTGAAAAACATGAAAAAGAATTTAAAAATTCACCTATACTTAGCCCATACTTAGCCCTAGTGCAGACAGCAGCTGAAGGGCATCAAGGGACTGTCCCCACCTCTTCCTGTCTGTGGCCCTCAGGGTGCCCCCCCATCTTCATCAGCCCACCCTTCCTATCCATGGCCCTCTGGGTGCCCCCCCAACTTCATCAGCCCACCCTTCCTGTCCATGGCTCTCTGGGTGCTCCCCATCTTCATCAGCCCACCCCTTCCTGTCCATGGCCCTCTGGGTGCTCCCCATCTTCATCAGCCCACCCCTTCCTGTCCATGGCCCTCTGGGTGCTCCCCATCTTCATCAGCCCACCCCTTCCTGTCCATGGCCCTCTGGGTGCTCCCCATCTTCATCAGCCCACCCCTTCCTGTCCATGGCCCTCTGGGTGCCCCTCATCTTCATCAGCCCACCCCTTCCTATCCATGGCTCTCTGGGTGCCCCTCATCTTCATCAGCCCACCCCTTCCTATCCATGGCTCTCTGGGTGCCCCTCATCTTCATCAGCCCACAGCTCCTGGAGCTGCCCTGTAGTCACTTTTGCACACACTCTCTTTGCTTTGCCTCTCTCCTCCCAGTGCCTATGTGGTAGAACAAGATCACAGCATTGCTAGAGACCACATGGCTGTGCAGACTGGTCTACCCTAATTTTACAACCAAGGGCTTGGATCCACCCACACCTGCACCAGTCCCAGCAGCACCCTCTTGAAGAATTGCTTCTGTCTGAGGCCATTCTGTTCTATCTCCTTCTCCTTCCTCAGATTTCTGATCTAATCAGATGTCAATCTCAGCTGGTGGCTATGCCTCAGAGTTAAGGAGAAAAGAGTTTCTTCTCTGCCCCATTCTCCGACCCAAGGGGCCAAGTCACTTTTCCTCCCTTGGCCTTTCCTGCCCCTCAGATGCACAGAGTCCCTGCTGTGAGGTCAGGACAAGCCACCCTCTTGTTTCCTCAGGGACTTGCCCGGCTGTGTAGTGTATTGTGCTGTCTCTCTTTATGCCCTCCTCCCTGGCAGGTCACTTCTGTTAATATCCAGGATGACTTAGTAGCTCCCATCTTAAAATTAAAAAAAATATTATTCCCTTGATCCTTCATTTTCAGCCATCTTGGCAAATGGATTTTACAGTGGCCTCTGCTTCCTCTTAAAAACCCACTAAAATGACAGGTAAAGTTTTTAAAGGGCAGAAGTCACCAAGAAGTTGAGAAAGAAGGTGACAGAACTTTGAAAGTTGAAAGGCAGATGGACAAACAGTTGAATAGCGCAGATCTGAACCTAGAAAGCTTAGAAGTGCATGTGTGTGTGCATGTGAGTGTGTGTGTGTGGCATATGTTGTGAGTGTGTGTGAAGTATGTATGTGCATTTACCCACACAGGTCTGTATGTAGACATGCATGTATGTATGTGCAGGTCAGTGTGTGCTGTGTGTCTGAAGTGCATGTGTGTATATAGGTGCACACGTGTGTGTGTATGTGTGGAAGGTATGTGCATACGTGTGTGGAGTGTGTGCATCTGTTCTGCCTGTGTGTGTTGAGGGCACTGGGAAGCGAGTTTCCTGTGTTGCAGACAGCACCCCCACTTCTTGGGAATGGCGTTACTGTTGATGGCCGAGCATGGGGAGGTGGTAGAGATAGGGCTGGTGTAGGAAAGCAGTGGAAAGCCTGTCTGAGAAGCAGTCAGCCTCTCAGCCCTCTCCTACCCAGGATGGTTCTTCCCTGGAAGGTGAGCTGGGAGCCTGCCCTGTGGTAGGGGACTATCCTAAATGAAAAGTAAGGCATGGCATGGCTTGACCCCAGCCCTGCCTTATTTGGCCCCAGAACACTGGGAACCTAGGAACAGACAGGAGGGAGGGAAAGGAACCACTGGGTGGGTGAAGAAGCTGGACATTGGGACCCTGAGATGTGGCTCCAAGAAGGGCTTGGAGGGTGCTTCCTGCATGAGTGGGTCTGCAATGGTTGGCCCCCTGTCTAAGAGAATGGAAAGAAATCAACCTAAGTTCATAGAACACCAAGCAAATCAGTGGACAGGCCCTTATTCACTGCGAGAAACAGAAACATTGTGAAGAGGGGAGCTGCAGCATCAGATGTGGATACCAGGTGCACAGCCATTGAGGAGGTCCTGGAAAATGGGGAGGAGGTTGAGGTAGGAGGTTAGGAGAGTCAGTGCTCATCTTTTATAGCAGGAAGCTAAC